CCATAGCGAGGTGACATCGTTTATTGTTTTACTCGTCACATGGCTACAGTTCAGGCCCTGCCGATGCTGTGACACGCAGGGCTGTAAGGACACGTATTATGTTTGTGGTGGGGGGGGAGATAGATGAAGCCCGTCCATACAAGGAGGCAGGTGTACCCAACGGCTCACCTTCATTGCACCTGCCTTGTTGCATCATTGAGATGGGACTCGGGTTTTAAGGCTTAATTTGCCTGACTGATGGTTCTAGGACCATTCTGGTTTGTTTATGAGTGCGCAGTGTCGGGTCGAGTCCCTCCTGGGCCGCTGTGCTGGCATTCAGGCGCCTGTCCCAACACTCATCAGTGTGGACTTAATCATCTGCATCATTAATTAGCCCCCTGCTTCTCTGAATCGCAGTAAGACTCTCCCTGGTCACAGGGGCAGGGATGGTCAATCTTCATATGAAGGATGTAATTTTGGAAACAATTGAATATTAAAATGAGTAATTAAGGGCTGAGACAAGTGCACACATGGCGTAGAGGAAGGGGAGTTGAGTTTGAGACTCATAGTGCTTTGTTTATACACCCTGATGTTTGCTGGAATAATTCAGGTTAAGTGTGTTGTGCCTCCAGGAACTGCACCTAGAGCGCTGTAGTCCCGCCTCCGGGGCGTGCATTCTGGTTCTGTTTTCCCTTGTGGTTACCGTAGTTACCAGCATCCATCACCGTAAGCCAATACTCACGGCTCGCTGATTCTGCATCGAGGGGTGGCGAGGGAGCCAGAGCACAGCGAGCCTTTTCCAGGGCGTCACAGAGGAGTCACGCCGTCCCTGCTTCTCCCATGACATCAGAGTGACCGCTTATCCTGTGTGACCCGCAAGTCAAACCCTTAAATTGGGACGCTGCGTTTCCCCCCACCCCCGATCCCCATGCATGGATGCAGTGAAAGACAATCTGTCAACCCCCCCAGACCCCGAATTGTATCGGAGGGCCCATTACACTGAGGGGGAGAATGGGTTATGTGATTAAGGAGCCGATTCTACACCAGGCTGCAGTAAAGACTCGGTGCTCAGTTATTTGGTCGATTCTTATGAGGAGGACGAATCGGATGCCGAAGGAGGAAAACAAACCGGCCGAACCCAGCCTTCTGTGAGGTGTTGCGCCATCGATACGTGGCCTGTTATATCTTTAAATGCAAAATGATCGATTTTAATCACGATTGTATAGTTAATTGTGAATCCCGCTGTTGTTTGGAGTGTCTTCTGCGAAGCACTGCAGTGTTTCCTTAATGCAGCAAAGCAGATGGATTTATAAAAAAAAAAAACTCGCCGAGGCTGCAGGAGGCGGGAATGCGAGGAGAGCCCTGCATGCCGAAGCCCATACTGCGTCCGTGAAGAAGCCCGACCGTGGGATCTGACACGGCTCAGGTGCTCTGCTGGGTCCCCGTATAACAATTCGTATCCCACCCTTGGGGGGGCGCCCGGTTCGGCGTGTTTACCTGCAGGACGCCTTCCAATCGGTCTGATCGCAGTCAAGGACAAAAAAAATAAATGAATCACGGCCGGCACGAAACAGTACTGCGTCTGTGCAGTTTATTTCCCCATAAAGACCTTTGTGCCGGGGGGGGGGACTCTTTCCAGTTTTTCCCGGCGTAATAAAACAAAGAGGACATGGGGGATATGGGCCGAAGCCAGGAGTGAGGAACGGGAGCGAAAGGCCAGCAAGCTCCCGGGAAGAAGCCCTGAAATGAATGGGAGCCGTCAACCGGCACGGATCTGCACGCGGCCTGGCCTGGGGGGTCTGCGCAGGCCCCCTCGCTGACCTTAAGCTGTCGGAAATTAACGCCCCGAGTTTACATCCCGCATAATCCCGCGTCTTCCCCCACTCTGGCATCGATGGCTTCCTTCCCACTGGGAAAGCGGTGTGGGCAGGAGAAGGTCTGCAGTCGATTGCCCCCACCCCCCACAGACTCCACTCCATCCCTCACACTGACAGTAATGCATGCGTCAGTCAGTGTGATGACAGTCCCTCTATATCAACCCTCCTCCCCAAAGTCTCCATCCATTGTCTCCATTTTTATTTTTAATTCTTAAAACAATTAGCATGTTCTGATGATGCAGGTTCTCCCAGAATCACACCCTGCTCTGGATTTCTGATGACCTCTGCTGCTCTTTGAGTTTCGTCATGATGAAGTTAAAATGTAACTTCATTTCTTTCTTCTCAGTCCATCTTCTAATGGCTTATCCTTGTCTGGGTGCTGAGCTTCTGCGATGGGTTGGCACCCCTTCCTGGATTATTTCCTTCCTTGTACCCATAGCTTCTGGGATAGGCTCTGGACCACTGTGACGTGAAGTGGGGATGGATGGATGGATGGATGGATGGATGGGTGCTGAGGTCTCCATTATATGAAGCTCAGAATTGTTGCATTATTCTTTATGGTCATAAATGTATCCATGGTGCGTATGTGAGCATTACCTCCCGCATACATTGTTTTCATATTTATCTGCTGACATCTCTGTCTAAAACGTCTTCCACTTGATATGTGACTGAAGCTGCTTGGGTTCAGTCGGAAACCAACAGGTTCGTGGGGGTCAGGCGTCAAAGCGGCGACGCCCGTCAGCACCTCCATCGTCTGTGTCTCCGTGAAAGCGCCGGTGCTTCTGGAGGGAACCCGTCATAAATGATGAATGCTTTGGGAGCGAGAGACCGGAGGTGTCCGTTACACCGGAGTCGTATCTACGATTGGGGCCGTCTCTGCCGCTGCCCGTCTGGCTGCTCTTTTAAATTACGTTTGTGCGTCTCCGCTGCGTGGGGGTCTTATTTTTTATTAAATCTCTCTCAGGGGCAGAAATAAACAATCCAGCAAGGTTTATGCTTCAGCTTTTTATCTCTAACCAAGCCTTGTTCGGCAGCATTGACCGCTCTGACCTGGAGGCAGTGGGAGATCCTTCAGGCCCCGACGGAAACGGATAAGCGGCGATGCTGCCGTTGGGGGGATCCACGGAGGTGCGAGGTTTCTTTGAAGACGCCATGCAGACCAGACGTGGAGATCACAAAAGCACTGATTAGAAGCTAATACAGGCACTGCGTTCACCATACTCGCTGGCTGTCTGTCTGAACGCCTCTACTATATTATTTACTACAAACTCCTTTACTAATATTTTGACCCATATTGATTTAAAAAAAAAAAAAAAAGTTTAAAGAATTACGGTGCCTAGAATGAGTCATGCTGGAAGCCGAATGGCCGGGATTAAGGCAGCCGTGCTCCGCGCTCAGACTCTGTCTCCTGCCAGGCTGCTCGCGTAACGTGGCCACCTTTGTCA